GAAGTGAAGTGAAGATTATGAAAATGAACTTTGCTTGCCATATGTATTATTTCTGCACAGTTTTTTTTTCTTTTAATTATTTTGTGTGTTTAACATGTTATTGAAATTGTTGCAGCTTTATATGGGTTGTTGCATTTTTTCTTCTTTTGAGTTTTAGTTTAAAACTGTGCTTTTTGTGTTTTTTTTCCTTTTCCTTTTGATTAAGCACCGATGATGTTCGACTTTTTTTTTTAAGAAAAGGAAAGTCATTCTTCACGATCTTCTCAGTATCGATTTCTCCCAGGTAACTGTTAACATGTTTCGAAGGTAGATTGCATTTTTTTTTGTTTTCTAAGATCTAGTAAGTTTTGGCCAAAACCATGTTTTTGGAAGGCATTCCACAAAGATGCTTAGAAGTCTTATAATTATTTTGGTCGGATTATGGTTTGGCTCCTTTTTTAAGAATTTGTGTTGAGGTTGTCGGATTGATCTATGTCTGTGTGACCTGCTATGCTACTGCACCCAGTTTTCTTTTTCTTCTAGTCATTGCGCATTATTCATTATTATGATTGTGATTAAGTTGTACGAATTGGTCAATCTATGATTTCATTCTATGATTTGATCTATGAGGTAAGGTGAGAATGTTGTAACTATGACTCTGAGTCTATGTTTTGGATTCCATTCTGTTGCTTATAATTGTAGAACAAAAATATCTATGCAGTTTTTACTAAAATAGATCATAAAGATTTTTATGAATCTTGTTACTTTATTTATAATGAGATATAAGTATCACATCAAACACCTAAAATAAAGCCAAGAAAATACAAGAGACACACCATTTTATTTTAAAAAAATACTAAAATAAAAATTACAACTAATCTAAAAAGATATAATTTTTTTTATTAATTTGTAACGGATATCCGTCATCCCATTAAAAAAATAATTAAATATTTATATCCCTCGTTATCTATTAAAGATATTTATTTAATAACTTTATCCCAAATATTCACAAATCTATTTTTTTTTTCATCTGTTCATATATCACAGAAACTGATAAATGTATAATAAATTCTGTAAATTAGAGCCGTGTATATTAAAAAAAATAGTGAGGTGTGGTGTGAAGAAAAAATATTTTAGTATCAATTTTTTTTGGAAAGAATGAGAAAACTTAATAAAAATATTAAAACAAAACAAACAAACATTTTTATTTAATTATCCTTTTCATATTCCTTTTTATTTGTTTAAAACAAAAACTTAAAACACAATTTAGTATTTTGTTTATTATTATTCATATTTTTATATTTTATATTTTATATTTTCTTAACTTCACTATTTTTGTCTTTACTTGTTTAAATTTATTTAATATTTATTTCATTAATTAACTTCACTATTTATTCATTAATTATATTTTATTACTTTTGTATTTTGTATTACTATTATTATAAGATGAAATTCGATGTTGTAATATAGCTATTCTGAAATTTTGTATTTAGTATGTAATATATTATCTTATCTCAAAATATATATTATCTTATCTTAATATTTATTATCTTATCTTAATTTATATTATCTTATCTTAATAAATATATACTCTTTAAATTTTAAATATTTGTACGTATATTTACATATAAAGTTTATTCAAATTTTAACTAATTAATTATCAATTAAAATTATCTATGATAATAAATCTTTTAATCTTTTTATTTTATTTTATCTCATTTTATCTTATATCTTTAGTTTGTTTACCAAAGACTTAAAAAGTCTATAAAAACAATCTTGAATTCACACAAAATACTCATTCATTCTCCTACTAAAATTTCTTTCTTATTTCAGTGTGAGTATTGAAAAGAGTTTTTTTTTTCTTGTCAACTCTCATTCAATATTTGTCTTTCTCTTACTATTCAAGACTTGGCTTCAAAGAATCGGTGCAAGGAATTTACAAGTTTGGAAAATACATCATTTCTTCTCCAACTTGATTCGACAACGGTTGTTTTGTTTAGGTAAGATCACATCATGTACGTTTAAAATTTGATCGATAGATTTATAGATTATTCTAAACTATGCAATGCACAAAATTTTGTTATTATGTATATAAATATTTTTTCATTCTCTTTTTGAAGGTTTAAAAGGTGAAAAGAATATGAGGCCAAATATCAATGAATCCCAAGATTTTGAAGGATCGTCAAAGAATTGCTTTTGCTCTCAAGAATATTTGATTCATGAGAATGGTCATAATGCTTCTTATTCACCACTTCTCGTAAACTACAGAAACTATGTCTTATATCATAGTGAAGAACGTCTTGAAAAAAGACTCACAAAGAGTGATGTGAATGTTAATTTAAATAGACTTCTTTTTAATAAAACAGAAGCTGAAAAATATTTTTTACCAATATTGAAAGATGATGATGATATCCAAAAGGGAGTAGAGGTTTGTGCCTACGATGATTATGGGAATCTTTATTCACTGGCCTTCAAGAAGTGGGCAAATAAATACTATGTGTTGAATGGCGAGTGGAAAGTTTTCTTCGAAAATCATAAATTGCAAAGCAATGATATCATCAGAACATGGATGTTTCGTCATTCAGAACATTCAAAGCTATGTCTCGCACTTGAATTTAAAAAGATTGAAATATAGTCCTAGTTGACTTAATGAAATGTTATAGAATTACATTGGAGTTTTATTTTTTAAGAATAGTACATTCTAGATGAATTGTTCATCAAAATTTCTTATTTTTAATGTTGTAAAAATTATATATTTGATTTTCATAATAGTTTTTCTAAAATTATTTGATATCACCAGTTCCATTTTAACTAGTTAAAAATAGTAAATTATATATATATATATNTTGTGAAAATTAGATAAAATTATATACGACAAAAATTATAAAATGAAAACTCATTATAAAGTCATTTTTTTGTAAGAAATTGTTTAACAACTGAGTGTTTCTGATTTTTTTCCAGGCCAATTACCAATTCCTTTGATGTCATTATGCTTGTGAAAATTAAATAAAATTAGATAAGACAAAAATAATAAAATAAAAACTCATTATAAAATCATTTTTTGTAAGAAATTGTCTAACCGCGAGTATTTCTGAATTTTTTCCAGGTCAATTACCAATTCCTTTATGCTTGTGAAAATTGGATAAAATTAGATAAGACAAAAATTATAAGATGAAAACTCATTATAAAATCATTTTTTTGTAAGATTGTTTAACATTGGAGTGAGAAAGAGGAAAGAGAAAGGGTTGAGAGGAATGAGAGAGGTGAGTAAGGGTTTGGGGGGTTTCTTTTTTTTTTTTTAGTTTTGAGAATGAAAATTATTAAAATACCCTTAATCTTAAAACTTAGAATCCATGATATATAAGGATATTTTTTACACATGAGTTTTCTCAATTCTCAACCGTCATGAAATTTTTTTTTGTATTTTTTTAAAAGATCTTTAATTCATCCAGACCAACCCAATAATCATCTAGACACCGTACTGACCTAACAACTATCCAAACCACACCAGAGCAACTCGACAGACAACACACTAACAACTTGACAACCTCTAAACCAATCCAGCAAGATCTAGACCACATAGATCAAATGGACAAAACCAACAATATTAGATTTGATGACAAGAAAAAATCAAAAAATTGAAGACCAGTCTACAACAATGTGGATTGTAAATTACAATTCCATTTCAATTGTTATTATAGAAAACAAAATAATTTTATCATCTTAAAAATGAATAACTTGCAAAGAGTCAAAATTATAGTATTGTATAAATACTAGAGAGAGTATATTTTATAATCATTACACATTTGCATTGTATAAAAATTATTACACATTTGCATCCCTTAAATAATACAAACAAAATTTATAATTATTTAAAATTCAAACTTTTTATTTTAATTCTAATATTATAAACACACAATATAAAATTTTAAAAAAAGAAAAAAAAAGGTAAAAATCGGTAGACCATACCATCTATGAGCCAAGAAGTTAAGCAGGAGAGATCAGGACAAACTAAATTCCACCCCACTCACCCTCTTTCCCACCCTTAAGGAATATTATATGAAATAACTTACTACCATTCTAAATTTTATTTATTTATTAAACTTTCTTCAGAAAATTAACAAAAAAAGATTCCCCTCCTAATATTGCAGTTGAAAAATAAAACTAACAAAAAAAATCCCCTCAAATATTACAGTTGAAAAATGTCATCAATGTTATATTGTACCCAAAATAATCTTCCTCCGGGTGAGATTAGATGTCTCATTAAAACATAAATTTGAGTCATCCTTTTTTTATTCTGTAGGGTTCAGGCATCAATCTTAATCATATGGAGTTGTGCCATGTTCATAACCATGAGTAATATCATCCAAGAGTTATCATTATCACCATGACCAACAATCTTAATCGATTAAAGAGTAAGAGCAACTCAATGTTATATTGTTCGAATTTCGACATTTAGGTGACTAAGTATAGAAGTAGTTCAGTGTTCCAATGTCATAGTATACAAAAAAGAACAATTCAATGTTTCATTGTCGAGTACAAGAACAACTTGATGACGAGAGAAGCTCGATATTATAGTGTTAAAGCACAAAAAGACAAATTCGACATATACCGAAATATAAAAAAAGTGTTAGGTACAAATAAAGTTTCACATCAGATAAAAGAAGAGTTGAACATGAGTTTATATACACATAGATACCTCTATTGGTAAGAAGCCTTTTAGAGTAGTACTGAAAACAAATCTGTTCATTGTAAAATAGAATAGGTTTGAATGAGTAGAGAGATTATGTAGAAAATTGAACTCACTTAGTTATGGAATTCATTATGTTAGTCTTTCTCTCTTAACTCTTTCCTAAACTTTTATTTTTTTAAAGTTTGTCAAACTTCTCTCAAGAAACACCTTCCCATCCACTCTTCAAACACAAAAACTCAATATCTGAATCTCTTATGCATTCATCAGTCCTCAGATCAAAATTTGATGATCCCAAATGTCAAACTCATAAGCATTAAGATATGAGAAAAAGAATTAATCAAATACACATATGTACAACATCAAATCCTATTCTTCTACGAATTTAACCGATGAAGAAAAAAAGCAAAGAATTGCTATTGGCACAACATAAAGGAAAAGAAAGAAGTATGATTAGTAGTAAAGCTTAATCCTGGTGTTAATGGGGCTCCTGCACATGGGGCATGACTCAAGATCTGCTCCACACTCACAACATGTCTGCAGAAAAATAAAAGCAAAATATGTCAAATAAAATTCATTTTATTTGATGTTTTCTGAACAAATGCAGGGATATCTCTATTTACCTGATGCCCACATCCGAAGGCCATGTCTTTTGCATTGCTCAGACAAATGGGACAAAGCTGCATAAGGCCAAATTAATCACAAATGTCGGATTTAAAGATCATCAAACAACAGACAAAATTTATTTATACGTAAATTGTTTTTAAATGCACACGGTTCCAAACAAGTTTATGAGAAATGCAACAAGAAATATGTTTGAAAAGTAATCTATCTCAAGTTAATGTAAGGATATAGCAAGAGATATTTTCAAGAAAATAACATTATTCTACTTGAAACGTGGTACCTCATTGTCATAGGTGAAACATAGGGCAGAAGGAGCTGTGGGAGTTGGGTGGATACCAGTATATGTGGGAGGTGGGAGGGCAACCCTTTGAGGATCACTGGCTTGCAGACAACTGCTCAAGAGTAATTAGTATAAATTATCACAAAACATTCAACAGAAAATTAGCAGAATTTAAAGAAAAATATTCTTTGCTTACTTTCGTTTGATACTATCTTTCTTATTTTTTTCAAAAACTACAAAAATCCACTCTTTTATAATGATTTTACTTTGGTTAGTTGTGTCAAATGAATATAAATATATGTCATTCTATTATCACTCGAATTTAAAATGAGTAATGATAGCATGACACACGTTAACATTCGTTTGACACATCTAACAAGAGTAAAATGGTATTAAAAAAATTAATTTTTATAATTTTTTGAAAAAATAAAAAATTTAGTGTCAAATGAATATGAAAAAATTATATGTCAAATTAACATTTTTCATTTAAAATCAATAATAAGGAACCAAATAATTACCCAAGATTAAGCTCTATTGCTGTCTTATACTGAGAAGGAATTTCCATCAATGCAGAAAGCGCAAACGATGCCTCTTTTCGTGAAGGAGGGATGTTCTTTGACATAATCTCCGTGAAGTTCACAAACTACACAGGAAGAAGGAGAAATCATATGTGATTCATTTGATCAACTTCTACAGGTATAGTCAAAGTTATTTGACATAAATTATGCTAAAAATTTTATATAAACTAAAATTAAGACTAATTTAGATTATATATAAATATAAATCTTATTTTACAGATATATATTAAAGTTTATTCTAATAATTTTTTTTTTGTTAATTTTTTTATATCATTCGTTATTAAGATATTTGTTATTTATATAGAATTATAGTTTAGAACTTATTCTAGAAAAAAATGTTTTTTATTTGCAAACCGATGGTTGGATTGAATTAAATTTAAAATTCATTTTTTAATAAATTACCTTAGAATTATCGAAGACACGATACGAGATATTGTCATCAAATTCCTTCATCGTATGAAATGGACCATCTCCAACTCCAACAAATACAATTGAAAGAGGAAATTTACTGTGACAAAGCAGGCATATATATAAGGCACAAGAAGTTTCAAACAAGGAACATTATCAAGTAAAAACTACACGACAATCACCTAGCTGCAACAATGGCATCCACAGTCTTCTGCTCCTGTGGACTTAGTTTCCCATGTCTGCCAACATTTTTTGTTACCTGTGTTAAACATTTGTAGATCATTTATTCTCTGTCCTTGGTAGAAAAGTCATTATCTAAGAAATAAAATATCCAATTCTGTACTCAGAAAATTGCTTCGTATGAAAGAAATATACTGAAGAATACCTGGCCATCTGCGATTATCACCAAAACATGGTACTGGCCACCACTCTGCTTTACAATTGTCATGGCCATTTCAATTATTGGTGCAAATGAAGTAGGCCCTGAAATTAAGATACGCTTCACTAACTCTATATTTGATATTAAAGACTCACATATATAGGGTTGAATGGTAAAAACTAAAAAACATAGTTTTCTGTTGAAAACTGTTCCCAAGAACAAGAAAACTAGTTATAAAATACCAGCAAGTCGAAGACGAGGAACAATTTCCCTATACCGACTTAACACCTCTTCAAATCCAATGCAAGATCTTTCATCCGGGTAGAAACTGAAGATATCTTGATCATGTGTTGATGCTGCCATCATATCATAGTAATTTTTTTAACCATATCTTAGCTTCAAAATAATGGAAAACATAACGTAAAGTTGTATTAGCAGATACCATCTCCAAATCCAAAACAGGGGATCAAGTTATCCTCATCGAATGCAGCCAAGGTTTTCCCAATAACTGATATTGCTTGTTCATAAGGATTCGGAAGACTTCCAATGTGATGCAAGCTCCGACCATTGAACGATTTCTTGCCTAAAATGTTAACACCGAGTTCATGAAATTACACTACAACACCATGCATAAATTCCAACTATAGTAACGATTCGTAAATAAAGCCTTACCTGTCCACTCGTTACTCTTGGTGAAATCAATACCAAGAATTAGATTACAAGACTCAAGCCCTGCCCGCTCAAGAGCCTCAGTAACCTAAAAGTATTGCGGATAATAAAAAAGTTTAGAATTAAAACACACACAAATCACCGACTTTAGATCTAACTCAACTCTACCAAACTGATTCTGATTTAAAAGACAAGATTTACATTCAATTATATACTCAAAATTGATCTTATCTCTAGTCTAGTCGACGTATAAAAGGTTTTGCCAAGAAAACACACTACAATTAAATATGAGTTAAATTTATACGGAATTGACGTGTAACTTAAAACCTTAAACACGCATGACATATATCTTTCTCTTCGGTGGATTGAATATAACAAAACGAAATACCACCTAAGGGTTAAATAAAAGAGTAAAAAAAATGAAGTTGCCTGTTCTATGGAATTGTAGCGATCAACAATTCTTGAGTTTGTCCTCTCTAGCTTTGCACTATCATAAGGTATCAATGTATCACCACCGTAAGCTTCACAGCCAAACGAAGAATAAGAGGGTTGTGGATCATCAAAAGCATAACCTGATATCGGATCCAAGTAAGCACTCCAAGAGGATGCAGAACAACTTGACCCTACCGATGAACTCTGCCTCCAACTATTCTCCTTAGAACTTTGACCACCCATTTCACACCCACCAACACTTCTCGATGAAAAATGAAGCAATGAACACAAACCAGTTGCAAAGGGTATATAAACGGCACGAGTGTATCGTCCTCGAGGTTGCAGTTTCCATTTTCCAAGCAACTTCTGGATTTGTTCAATGCAATAAGTAACGAGCAAAGGCAAGCTTCACACAAACGAAAACGATTGTTTCTAACTTAACCCACCGACGTAAGTAACACAGTGTAATTGCTGGTGACTTCAAGCGCAAGGAACCAAAAGTCTTTTGACAAAAGAACACATTGCGACAGGAAGAAAAGAGCGTTAAAAAATAAACTTTAAATTTAATTTAAATTCACAAAATCGATTTTTAAAATGAGATTTATATACATGATCGATGCTTTCAAAATAAGGAATCATATAAAAGTGCTTAGAAAAAAGAACATCTGATTTTGATGATAATAACGTAGATTCCTCGAGTGCACCAGAGTCAACACATGAACGAACATACGCAAATAAAACGAATCGTATAAGGTGTAAAGAGTGTATAAAAGGTGATATTTGATGAGTGTTGTGGGTTGGTGTGTTGAATAACACTGGAGGAGAATCTTCAGTGGTGTATACGCAAATGAGTAATAACTAATATTCGAATTTAGAAGCTTGGGAACAGAAGGTTGTGTGGAACTCAAGAGAAGTAACAGCAAGGGAGTTTCCTCGTATTGCTACAAGGCTGACTGGTCTTACTTTTTACAAATGTTTACACACTAGAGATAACCTTCTTCATAAACCGTTTTAGACCCTTCAAACATGTTTACTAAAAAACAATGAATTAACGAGTCTTTTCGATTTTTATACAGTTTTACTTTCTTATTTCTGTCCAATGTGAGAGTTAGACTCGTTTCTCGACATAAATTACATATGCATGGTAGCAATGGACTCTTTGTGTAATACTTCAACTTCATTCCAAAAAATTTCTCATGTGGTTGAATTTGTGGCATTTGATAGGCGTAAGTTGCTTAAATGAGTTCTATTAGCTTTGAGCTCCAATTCTGCAAGTGATATTTAAGACCTGTCTTTGCAATGTGAAGTTCTTAAAATGGAGCTTCCAGCTACCAAAAAGGAAAAGGACAAAGCATAACTGTTGGAAGAATTTGTTAAAATGAAGTTCAAGGACTGTCAATGAATTAATTCTGTATCGTTTTTTTGTTGGGAAATATTTACAGCTATGTAAATTAAGACTTTGCTAATTTAATTTTATTATTTCTTTCTTCATCAAAAATTAACAAAAAGTTTATTATAACACATAAAATGCACTATTAATGATAAATTTGTAATTATAGAATATTAAAATTTATTATTATATTTTATATATTTAAATGTATAATAAATATCTGCTATTAATACCATTACCTTCTCTGTTGGCTCCAGTAGGTCAACCCTAACTAGCCTATCGGCTAGTCTATTAGTAATTATTTAGTAGGTCATTTTTTTAGGACCTATCACCATTTTTTTTTCGTTCTAGACATTTTTTTGTTTCTATGATATTTTTTTCACTTTTTCCTGAGATAATAAAGATGAAATAATCAAATCACACTTGTCCGGATGTCATCCTTGTTCATAAGTTTTGGAATTGAAAATTTAATTAGTGTAACTAATGAGATTTAAACCAGATTAATTCTTGGTGTTCCTTTTAATATCTGGTGACTTGGATATTGAAATCTAAATTAAAATAAATTCTTGTTAAAGTACAGTTAAAGAACATTGTCTAGTGTTTCTTTATGATTAAAACAACTTCTTGTAAATCTATATTTGATTTAATTTTTGAAAATCTTTTCAAGTTCAATTCTGTCTTCTTGAACTTTGTCATTATTTATACAATTACATTCATTAACATAGATGAAAACAATATAATCAAGTAGAATATTTACATAAGTTAAAGTATAGTTAACCATGTTTTAAAAAAGAAAAATTATTGATTCTATTTTTTAGAGTAATTTTTCATGGATGAGTCTATCTACAATAAAAAGGCTTATTATGAGAATTCTAAAGTAGGTTATATCTTTGTTTATAAGAATTCTATTAAACCAAATACGAATATTTCTCCTAATTTAGTCGAGATTCTGCAAGGTTTTTACATGGTTAATTTGAATTACATTACAAATTACATCAAAGTGCTCTATTCATTTAAATTCCGAAATAATAACGACGGTTTAAAAACGTAGCAACTAAATTTTTAGACAATAAAGATCCAAAAGCATAAAATAAAATGTGTAGAATAATCATTGTAAGTAAATATGCAAAAGTAATAGACACATTTTATAAATTTAGTGATGTTTTTGATGTACCTTTGTCTTTAATATATGGAATGGGATGCAACAATTGTGACTATTAGCTCAAAGAAAAAAGTGGTTATGAATATGGTTGGTTGTATCTAACATCTGCAGTACTTGGTCCAATAAAGTTGAGGTGAAATCAACGTTGTAGTTCACTTTTACAGTTATACGCTTTATTGGTTTTTGTGTCTTTTAAACAAGTTTTGTTTAAACAAGTTTACTAAATTGTTAGGAATCTCAAGTGAACTATTTGGTTTGTAACGGAGTACAAATTTTTAAAAAAAAAATTGTCCTTTCCGTTGTTAAATTGTGATATATTGAAGAAGTAAAATTAATCAAACTGAATTAAATTATTAAATAATTGTATTATATTATACTAAAAATATTATATTAATTATAATAAAAATTGAAGTGAATTACATTATATTTTAGTTTGAATAAACTGAATTTTCAAAGTTATAGTTGAAAATTAAATCATATACGCACATTAAAAAAATTCATATTAAAATGAATTTGCATATGAAGTATTTAATTTAAATATATGTGCTATTGTAAAATACAGAAAAATCTCAATCCAGTGAGCATTTATGAAAAATCTTGAACTTTTTCCATTAGGGGTTAATGGGTGAAAAGTTATGATATTATAATTGTGATTTAATAAGTTTTTGCAGAGAATAAAATGGAACACAGATTGTTGTTAGAATATTTAAGGTAAAATGTGTAGTTAATATATGAGTTGAAAGATTAGGTTTCCATGTTGGGATAAGTTGTTTGGAAACAATAGAGACAACCTTACGTTGTCATAATTATAGATGGGTGGTTTAACCTCATAGTTGTCTCTTGAGGATAATTCAATTGAATAGGCTAAAAAATGGTACAATAATAAATACTCAGCAATTTTGGTCCAAGATTGTTTCCCCTAAAACGTTCATTGCATCATTGAGTGTAGGCCCTGATTCAAGAAACTAACCAAACCTTGATTGAGTAGTCTATTAATAACCAAACAAACATCTTTTTCATTCAAAGGATTCAATCCTCAGAAGTCATTTTAAAGTTAACCATTGCGTGACAAAGTCTGTGCTTTTGGTTTTCAAATAGCCGACCACACCCTCACTTCTCTCTTTATTAAAAGATGAGATTTCACAGATTGTATTATCACATTTCCTCTCTTTCCCTTCTTTTACATCTTCGACCTTACACTTTCCTCCACTCCCCTTTATGTTAATAAATATATATACATATTAAGTTTACTACTAGATATATTAGATAACAACTAGATATAGAGTGAAATAATAGGTTTAATAAACAATAAATATTTCGTTATATAGCGTAATTTGGCCTATCTCTAATGAATCATATTGAGAGAAGAATTTGTCGAAAATACTATGTTAACGAGATTTAAGTCCAATCATATATAAGAGATTAACATCATCTTTAATACAAAATAAAAGAATTAAATGATATATAAGAAAAAAAAACATAAAAAGATTAAATTTGCAGTCAAATTATATGATGAATATATCCTATATATCTCGTAAAAGTTTCTCCATAATTAGATCCTTATTTGGATCAAAAGACCTATAAATAATGTGTAGTGTATATATCTCTGCACCCATCTTACTGCTGCCTAACTTTGCAGGATGAGAAGTATGTGTTCACTTAGTTTCCACATTCATCCATAATGGAGATTTGACTTTTTGGTGCAATGGCATATGAAATCAAAGGTGTTTGAAGGAAATGCCATACTCTTGGGTCTATGTTTCAACAGACAGATACTAGTTCTTATCCTTCCATAGACCACCCTGAACCCTCCTTCACCAATTTCACAATCCTAGTATTATAATTAAGGCTTGCTGCTCCTTCCAATGTTTGCCATTTCTTGTTACACTGTATAACACTTTTTTAATTAACATTCTTTCTTATCAAACAATGTTTGATTGGAAAACATAGATACTTTGTTTTTGGTTTATGATGAATTCAAAATCTCTTTCAAATACACACAAAAATACCTAAATATAAAATAAATCATATAAAACTGTGTGTGTGTGTGTAAAACATATTTAATTCCTAAGATATAATTGTTTTAATAAACCAACACATTACACCACATGAGTGTTGTATAATTTGGCGATTTCCCTGCTTTACAAATGAACAGGCATATGAACATGTGCCAGTTGGAAAATTTGGATGAGGCCCACAAGGCTGAGAGCAACTGCTCGTTATTATTTAATCACTGGCTTTCTTAATGAAAGCAAAATGGTCTGTTTCTCTGCTGTGGAACACTTCCTCTTGAGGGTCCACACTTTGAACAGAGAAAGCTCATCATGCATGATAAAGAAGAAAAATGGGAAATGATTGAAGTTGCACCCACATAAAAATCATACCCACTTCACCAAAAGTTCCAAGCTTGTGATTTCTAACTAATAGGGAAAAAATAATACATAAAAAAAAAATCTTGTTATCCGTGCCCATTCTTGGGTATCTGATACTGTAATAAAGAATGTTTTGCTGATTTCAAAGGTTTCCCGTCTGATTTTAGTGACAACACTGCGCTTTTTGCAAGCTTCTAGTTCTCTTAAATGGTGATTCTTGACCTTTTAAAAGAGTTTATTGTTGTTTTATAGCCTTTTTCAAAGAGTCTAAGAGATTTCATAAGATGGGGGTAAGTAAGGTAGTGGGTGTTGGATCACACTACATCTGCATCAAATTCATTTTTTTTTTAACTGTGCTGACTTGTGTGCATTAGAGTTAAAATTACTCTGAAAGCAAAGTTCTGACTAATGTGCGTGTTTTGGTCTTTGTAACGACTATTTGCCCCTATGAGAAGCTTTTCTATGACAAAGTCTGCAAATTGTTCCTTCTTTTTGGGACAAGTGTAATGTTTAGGTTTTAACAAGTCCATTACTTAAATCAGTTCACTGTCTACTTACAAACCAATTTGTA